AAACAAAGTTGTGACTGACTAGGACCCTTTAAACTGAAAGAAACGAATTTATCATTTTAATATCCTAACTGACGGGAGGCAGATCAGTTGGCTATTTACAGGCATGACCGAGGAGTTGAACTAGGGTCTACCGAGAAACAACTCCAATCCAATATGGCGGGGATTACAGTGCGTCAAGTGAGAACCAAAAATTAGAACTGTTTCAGAGGAACAAGATATCCATATAAGCCTGCGAAGGTCACACACGCCACGCCCTGTGCCCCACCGTTCTGCAACAAGGTAGTATTGTTAGTTCATCTCTCAAATGCTTTTTTTTGTTTTTGTTTTTTTTTTTTAGAGACGATGATTCGCTCTTACAATAACCTGAAGAAGTAAAAATGGCACGCCAAATGATTCTCGTTATCACGATACTGTTAATGGTGTCTGTAATGTTCTACAACATTTCCAGCCAGCAATGCGGGATTGACACCTATTCCGTCTACCAAATGATGCTTCGGGGCCACACCTTTAAGAAGTTGAGGGCTCGGCCACTTTCGCTCGACTGCAGAGAGGCTTGCATTTCTGATGTCAGATGTCAAAGCTATAACTACGTCATGTTTAAAGACATATGTGAGTTGAATAACAGGACCAAGGAGGCTAAACCAGAGGACTTTGTCAAGGACAGCGACAGATACTACATCACTAAGGCCCCAAAGAGAGGTAATAGGTTAAGTCTCTATACGAGCCAAGTGACCCAACATGCTGGTGCACATCTCTTTCTTCTGTAGCATGAAGCGACTAGGAGTATCTACTTTCCCCCTTCCCCACGATGGGATGCTCCCCATTAATACACCTGGCTGAAGAGAAAAACTGTGAGATTAAAGTGGTTTCCCCAAGAACACAACACAATGTCCCTGGCCAAGGCTCGCACCTGGATTGCTCGATCCGGAGTCGGGCAAACTAACCATGAGGCTACGGCGGTAATACACCACGCAAACGATAAGAAGAACAAGATTAGGTGACATGAATCCTTTTTTCAAGCTGACGATACTGGAACGATTTTTTTTTCCTGTTGCCTTTAACACTTTTCAAAAATTCCAGAAATTGTTTTTGCTTTGGCGACAACCTTGAGTTCTCATCTGATTATTTCTTTCAAATCCAGTTCCCCTTGGTTCCATTCCCGCGCTTCCTGCAGATTCGTGTAAAGAGATCAAGGCGAGTGAAGGAGAAGCAGTGGTCAGCGGTAATTACTGGTTGGACCTCGAGAAGAACGGAGACCCTTTAAACCTTTACTGTGACATGACAACTGACGGAGGTAAGCAATGGATAGAATTCTCTGACTAAAAGAGGCCATGTCATGCAAGTACAGGACAACAAGTACAGGACCCTCGAGTTATCAGCACAAATACCTGGAATAGCTTAGTCCTGGAAGTAAAGACCACAATTTTGTTCACACTCATACAGAAGATTGCAATAAATTTTTATTACTTCTTGGTACTACTTGCAAACGTAGTAGAATAAAAGACAATCTTTCTGTTATAGTCTTACCTCCAGGTTGGTATTGCTATCGTCCGGGCGACTCTTGTAAGCACATCCGGGACTCTGGGTACTCCAAGGGAGACGGGGAGTACTGGATCGACCCCGAGAAGAACGGAAACCCTTTAAAAGTCTACTGTGACATGACAACTGACGGTGGTAAGTGATGGCTAATTTCTTGAGTAACAAAAAAGCAACTTTTGATTTTGATTATCCTGAAAATCACAAAAAGGCAAAATGCAGTTGCTTATTGCGGGTAATCAAATAATTAAATCCACCCTTAGTTAGATCCTTACTCCAGTGAAAATTGTGTAGGATGAAAGATCATGAAAATCTAGCGCGAAATTTTTTAGTGTTGGTGGGATCGAATTTCTGCCCTAAATTCAGAACATTTGTAAACTAATTGAGTAAAACCAAATTTTTAAATTTTGACGCCATGCCAACAGGATATATTCCGATAGTATGAGAAACTCCGGATACTTTCGTAAACTGATTAGGATTCTCGAGGGTTTTCAAACTTGGAGAAAGATGAAAGTTGAAATCAAATCTGTGAGAAAAAACTATCAACCAGAGACTCGGAAGTAACGGAAACAGCCTCTACAGTTAATTTGCCAGCTTTAAAATGTTGTTTCACAATTTTGACGGCTTAAATTGGAAAACTTTTGGGAAACACGATTCTTCAGGATTTTTTGCAAGATTTCTCTTTTGTCTGCAACAAACTCCTGCAAATTTTCACGGTAGATGCATCACATGGAATATTTCATTTAACACACTCACAATGTTTACTTGGCCATAAGCCAGACCTCAATGAATCACCTCCAGGTCCCTGGCAACGGTTTCCAATCCAATACTGACCTCCTTTAGCTCACTAAAGGAGCTCAGTCAGTTGTTTTGGACGCGAACAGAATCTGACCGTTAAATTGAAGGAAACCTGAAAATAGTAGTTTGCAAAGATGGAAAAACACCAAAGAGATAATCATAAACTACGAAGGAACATATTGATGTCCGGATTTATATTATGAAAACCGTGCTAATTTCAACACGAGCACCCTGACACTTTTCCCAGAAAACACAAAGGCTTTTTCACTCAATCAGTCACAGGCATCGTGTCACTACACAGCCTACTCACCCACCTTGCTTGTGGCTGGCTGGCTATCTGCCAGCCCCCAAGGCTGCAGGGCGTGAGTGGCCAAAGCTTGTCCTGCAAAGAAAAGGACCAGTTCAACTGAATAAAATGCCACTCTCTGTGACCCACCCCTCCCCCCTGGGGTTAGACCCTGGGTCCCCAACTTGGAATCAGCTGGTAGCCAGGCAGCTGGGCTGCCTGTCCCAATCCTTGTCAACGGAGGCTTCACTAGGTTTTCGAGCAAGTGCACGGTTTCATATAGCCCGTACACGGTTTTTATAAATTCAGACAAGTATATATGTATGTTTTGTAAAATTGTAAATGTATGAGTAAAAAAATCAAGTCGTTGTTGTTCTTGGTGGTGGTTTCAGGAGGCTGGCTTCTTGTCTCTAAAGTTGTGATTGACGAGTTATTAGCCACTCCGCAGTTATCAGTTGAGACAACATACCAAGGAATAAGCAGCTATCACAACAACAGAACGGTTCTCTCGCAAAGCGCCATGAATGAACTGAGAGCACACCTGTCTTTTACACAACTGAGATTCCACTGCAGTAAACAACAGGGACGTACGTTCCACGTGACTACGGTAACTAACAGCACTGGGGAAGCTGTGGTCCAGTACTTTAGCGGTCAGACAGATGTCCAGCCCGAAGCCTGTGGTTCGTTTGTAAAAATGGATAATGACGACTCTCTAATGTCCGGAGTTTGCCATAAGTGGGGATTTGAAGCGGGTGTGTATCGAGTTGGTAAATGGGGACATGACGGCAATAACCAAAACCGGTTATACAAACACCCTGCTTTTGTTGATTCATTATATCACTGGATCGTGGGAATCTCAATGTGTGATGATTGGATATCTGACGTGTCTTTTGGTGATTTCTGGAAAGTCTATGTTCGTTAAAAAAGCGGATCGAATTGATCTGGTACCGCAAATACCGCCCAGTAGGCCGTTTCCGAGTTGCCTTTACCATTTGTGTCAAAACGAGACTGCTAATCCTTTCACATGATAACGTGTTCCGCCTACAGGTACATTGGCTTATGAATCAAACTCATTTTCATATGAAGAGTTTTGCACGAAGACTTGTTTTCAAACAGAGGCACAAGCTAACTCGGAAATGGCGTGTTGTCGCCTGTTATGTGACTTACATTATCCGCCATTATGCAATTTTAACACAAGGCTCTGTACACAGTGGTAAACATAATTAAGGTGCTGGGAAGTTTTAGAATAGCTTAATCGGTTATTACGCTGTATTATGTAACTACCAAGGCAATTATAATCAGATTACCAGTCTAGAAAATACCAGGTGACGTCCTGTTACTAGTTTACCATGAGTATAAAAAACTAGAGGACAAAACGTGGACGAAGTAAAGCCTGGTGAGATTGAAATGCACTGTTGTTGGGAAAACAAAGATGTGGCCGGTCCAGTTTGGTGGAAAAGAGGGTGTGGTAAGAACAAATCAGATTGGAGAATTGTGGCTTAGCTTAATTATGAAGGGAGGGATTCTCTGACACACGTGATTTCGAGTTTCGTGATCGTTTGCTTACAATGGAACAAAGAATTTGCCTTTTGACATCTCGTATTCTCGACATTTTTAGCTTTTAATTAAATAAATTAGTTTCTTAAGAGTCTTTAAAAGCCAATGTTAGTTCGGGTGGTTTAAAACCTACCAAATTGTCTATTATCGAGCTGATTTGACTTAGAATCCTCTTCTGTAAAAAGTTATTAAAAACACCCAAAACTCCGTCTTGTTGGGTATTTACAATTCAGATCAAATCAATTCTAACTATAAACAAACTGAAAATAGCGTAGCATCTTGTTTGGGACAGTTCCAAACGACAGAGACATCAGTTCTTACGAAGTGTTCTGCATGTTGTGGGCCAACGCCTGTGGTACTGAGACCCTTTGTCTCAACGTTAACGCATGATCCTTTTAGGTGGGATTATCTCACCCTCATCTCCCTACTGCTAGGTTTGAACGAAACGTGTCCCAGCTGAGTCATTCACTTCTCGTCACACAGAATCGGCAGATGTCGGGGTTACTTCACTGTCCGCGTCGGACTGGACCCAACGCAAGTTCTCNTGATTATTTCTTTCAAATCCAGTTCCCCTTGGTTCCATTCCCGCGCTTCCTGCAGATTCGTGTAAAGAGATCAAGGCGAGTGAAGGAGAAGCAGTGGTCAGCGGTAATTACTGGTTGGACCTCGAGAAGAACGGAGACCCTTTAAACCTTTACTGTGACATGACAACTGACGGAGGTAAGCAATGGATAGAATTCTCTGACTAAAAGAGGCCATGTCATGCAAGTACAGGACAACAAGTACAGGACCCTCGAGTTATCAGCACAAATACCTGGAATAGCTTAGTCCTGGAAGTAAAGACCACAATTTTGTTCACACTCATACAGAAGATTGCAATAAATTTTTATTACTTCTTGGTACTACTTGCAAACGTAGTAGAATAAAAGACAATCTTTCTGTTATAGTCTTACCTCCAGGTTGGTATTGCTATCGTCCGGGTGACTCTTGTAAGCACATCCGGGACTCTGGGTACTCCAAGGGAGACGGGGAGTACTGGATCGACCCCGAGAAGAACGGAAACCCTTTAAAAGTCTACTGTGACATGACAACTGACGGTGGTAAGTGATGGCTAATTTCTTGAGTAACAAAAAAGCAACTTTTGATTTTGATTATCCTGAAAATCACAAAAAGGCAAAATGCAGTTGCTTATTGCGGGTAATCAAATAATTAAATCCACCCTTAGTTAGATCCTTACTCCAGTGAAAATTGTGTAGGATGAAAGATCATGAAAATCTAGCGCGAAATTTTTTAGTGTTGGTGGGATCGAATTTCTGCCCTAAATTCAGAACATTTGTAAACTAATTGAGTAAAACCAAATTTTTAAATTTTGACGCCATGCCAACAGGATATATTCCGATAGTATGAGAAACTCCGGATACTTTCGTAAACTGATTAGGATTCTCGAGGGTTTTCAAACTTGGAGAAAGATGAAAGTTGAAATCAAATCTGTGAGAAAAAACTATCAACCAGAGACTCGGAAGTAACGGAAACAGCCTCTACAGTTAATTTGCCAGCTTTAAAATGTTGTTTCACAATTTTGACGGCTTAAATTGGAAAACTTTTGGGAAACACGATTCTTCAGGATTTTTTGCAAGATTTCTCTTTTGTCTGCAACAAACTCCTGCAAATTTTCACGGTAGATGCATCACATGGAATATTTCATTTAACACACTCACAATGTTTACTTGGCCATAAGCCAGACCTCAATGAATCACCTCCAGGTCCCTGGCAACGGTTTCCAATCCAATACTGACCTCCTTTAGCTCACTAAAGGAGCTCAGTCAGTTGTTTTGGACGCGAACAGAATCTGACCGTTAAATTGAAGGAAACCTGAAAATAGTAGTTTGCAAAGATGGAAAAACACCAAAGAGATAATCATAAACTACGAAGGAACATATTGATGTCCGGATTTATATTATGAAAACCGTGCTAATTTCAACACGAGCACCCTGACACTTTTCCCAGAAAACACAAAGGCTTTTTCACTCAATCAGTCACAGGCATCGTGTCACTACACAGCCTACTCACCCACCTTGCTTGTGGCTGGCTGGCTATCTGCCAGCCCCCAAGGCTGCAGGGCGTGAGTGGCCAAAGCTTGTCCTGCAAAGAAAAGGACCAGTTCAACTGAATAAAATGCCACTCTCTGTGACCCACCCCTCCCCCCTGGGGTTAGACCCTGGGTCCCCAACTTGGAATCAGCTGGTAGCCAGGCAGCTGGGCTGCCTGTCCCAATCCTTGTCAACGGAGGCTTCACTAGGTTTTCGAGCAAGTGCACGGTTTCATATAGCCCGTACACGGTTTTTATAAATTCAGACAAGTATATATGTATGTTTTGTAAAATTGTAAATGTATGAGTAAAAAAATCAAGTCGTTGTTGTTCTTGGTGGTGGTTTCAGGAGGCTGGCTTCTTGTCTCTAAAGTTGTGATTGACGAGTTATTAGCCACTCCGCAGTTATCAGTTGAGACAACATACCAAGGAATAAGCAGCTATCACAACAACAGAACGGTTCTCTCGCAAAGCGCCATGAATGAACTGAGAGCACACCTGTCTTTTACACAACTGAGATTCCACTGCAGTAAACAACAGGGACGTACGTTCCACGTGACTACGGTAACTAACAGCACTGGGGAAGCTGTGGTCCAGTACTTTAGCGGTCAGACAGATGTCCAGCCCGAAGCCTGTGGTTCGTTTGTAAAAATGGATAATGACGACTCTCTAATGTCCGGAGTTTGCCATAAGTGGGGATTTGAAGCGGGTGTGTATCGAGTTGGTAAATGGGGACATGACGGCAATAACCAAAACCGGTTATACAAACACCCTGCTTTTGTTGATTCATTATATCACTGGATCGTGGGAATCTCAATGTGTGATGATTGGATATCTGACGTGTCTTTTGGTGATTTCTGGAAAGTCTATGTTCGTTAAAAAAGCGGATCGAATTGATCTGGTACCGCAAATACCGCCCAGTAGGCCGTTTCCGAGTTGCCTTTACCATTTGTGTCAAAACGAGACTGCTAATCCTTTCACATGATAACGTGTTCCGCCTACAGGTACATTGGCTTATGAATCAAACTCATTTTCATATGAAGAGTTTTGCACGAAGACTTGTTTTCAAACAGAGGCACAAGCTAACTCGGAAATGGCGTGTTGTCGCCTGTTATGTGACTTACATTATCCGCCATTATGCAATTTTAACACAAGGCTCTGTACACAGTGGTAAACATAATTAAGGTGCTGGGAAGTTTTAGAATAGCTTAATCGGTTATTACGCTGTATTATGTAACTACCAAGGCAATTATAATCAGATTACCAGTCTAGAAAATACCAGGTGACGTCCTGTTACTAGTTTACCATGAGTATAAAAAACTAGAGGACAAAACGTGGACGAAGTAAAGCCTGGTGAGATTGAAATGCACTGTTGTTGGGAAAACAAAGATGTGGCCGGTCCAGTTTGGTGGAAAAGAGGGTGTGGTAAGAACAAATCAGATTGGAGAATTGTGGCTTAGCTTAATTATGAAGGGAGGGATTCTCTGACACACGTGATTTCGAGTTTCGTGATCGTTTGCTTACAATGGAACAAAGAATTTGCCTTTTGACATCTCGTATTCTCGACATTTTTAGCTTTTAATTAAATAAATTAGTTTCTTAAAAGTCTTTAAAAGCCAATGTTAGTTCGGGTGGTTTAAAACCTACCAAATTGTCTATTATCGAGCTGATTTGACTTAGAATCCTCTTCTGTAAAAAGTTATTAAAAACACCCAAAACTCCGTCTTGTTGGGTATTTACAATTCAGATCAAATCAATTCTAACTATAAACAAACTGAAAATAGCGTAGCATCTTGTTTGGGACAGTTCCAAACGACAGAGACATCAGTTCTTACGAAGTGTTCTGCATGTTGTGGGCCAACGCCTGTGGTACTGAGACCCTTTGTCTCAACGTTAACGCATGATCCTTTTAGGTGGGATTATCTCACCCTCATCTCCCTACTGCTAGGTTTGAACGAAACGTGTCCCAGCTGAGTCATTCACTTCTCGTCACACAGAATCGGCAGATGTCGGGGTTACTTCACTGTCCGCGTCGGACTGGACCCAACGCAAGTTCTCCTCTACTTATTTAGCACTGTTAGAATGGTATTTCTATGGCAACATAATCTGGTATAATTCCAAAACCAAAACACGTCCAAAATTTTTCTGGTAAAATTAAATTCATTTCGTTTCTGTTTTATCTCAACCTGCGTTGGTACTACTCTCCTCCACAGCCTTTTGTTTCGGGATGACACGCAACGCTCCCGCAAAGAAACGGTCTCTGATTGAGCAAGTCTCAAAAGGCGAATTTTGGGCTAAAAGGTTTTCGCAACTAAAACCGAAGCTGTGATTGGCTAATGTCGGCAAGGGAATGCTGCGTCGGTAGTTAACAGTCGTTTCTTTGGGGGGAGCGTTGCGTGACATCCCAAAAGAGACTACATCCCAAAAGAGACTACTTTGGTACCTGTAAGTAGAAACGAAAAAAAAAACAAAAAAAAACTGGAAACACATATTTAACAACAAAAATGGTGCGTTTATTGTGCAAATTTAGCCTATTACCATGACAAAACCCTTCATGTTACATTCATTGGTTAGCTATTGTTTCTTAACTCCCTCTCGTTTGTTATTTTCTCAGCTGTCCTTCCTTGATCGATATCACATCATATTTCTCAGCTTAAATCGAAAAATTACTTTTCAGTCCCTAATCACATCGCACGGACGCTTTCTAAAAGTGCTGTATCTTTCAAAAACGTTATTTTATCGATATAACACAAGATAATGGCTAGAACTTGCTCCAATTTTTACCCACTGCCCGAAATATATTTAAATTTTGTCATGGTCACTTTTCATGAAAAAAGAAAGGAATCTAGATACAAACAAACCAACAAACAAAAAAAAATAAGTTTTCTGTTCACGCTAACGGAAGCGCTCGAGCAGCAGGCTCTCCTTCAATCACATGCCCATCACGTGCTCTATAACACTGTCCATCTTTACACACTGGGAAGTCCGCAGTACAACAGTAGGTAGGCACCGCGGGCGGAGGTGGGCAGCAGACCGTGTACATAGCCTTCGTGCAGCATCTGTTGTGTTGGCAACAAGTAGCGCTCGGATGGGGACAGCATAATTGCTCTTCAAAGGTTTTTCCTTTAAAGGTCAAGGTACCTAAGGGAGAACGGTGGTGTTACTTCAGTGAATTAAGAAGAGCTGATCCAGTCTTTGTTAAAAATTTGGCTTATACTCAGCCAGCAGCCACCTTCTCCAGATCTTGATATTGGGAATTTTATAACTTTTATTGACGTTTCTAAAACTTCACCATATTAAGTTCATCGGATTTGGGTGGCGAATGGGTTTAATTTAAAACGATATTTCTCCGCAGATTGGCTCCAAACATAACGTACAGGCCTAACGTACAAATAATTTAACTATCGTTTCCTCGTCATTCGAAGCATCACAACGGAGAATAATATATCATCTCTTTGGTGGACACATAACAGCTGTAAGACACGTTTTGACATCGACATCAAAATTTTGACTTCAAAATACCTTGCTTATCACCCATCCCTCTATCCTACCCCCTCTTTACTCCTAAGGGATTCGATTCGGTTGGTTAACTGCAGCAAGCCGGGATTCCGTTAGCTAAGTTTCCATGGTGTTTATAACTGTTGCATTGTCGAATTCTCACGTTTGAGATGGTGATCACCTTTTTTAATTAATTCAATACACAAAACTGACCCATAAGTCTAATAAGACAGAATCGCTCTTCTAGAACCAACTTCCGCCGGGTTTGTTTATATCCAAACATGTGAATTCTGCCTGTTTGCCATACATGTTTTACCATGTTTAATGGTTGTTTGAGAATTTGATCAGTTGCAAAAGACAACCTTCTTTTTTTCATTCTGAATAGAAAAGAATATATATAGGTAGGGGATGAGTTTGTTTATACCAATTGTCACGCTATGATCATTTGCTCGACAACTGTGAATCGATCTCTCGATCTTACGAAAGTGAAAGTGTGGAAGGCGGAAGTAAAGCACAGGGCGGTGAATGATAGCTCCGTCTTCTCTTTTGATTTGTATCCTACCTTTGCAACAAGTCTGCTGTTCTTTACTGCCACAACAGGCTGATGCCTGAGGGTCACAAGCTTGAGGATAAGGCTGGGAACAACCGCATCCTGCACGAACGTAATTTGCGTCTTCCATACACCGAGCAGTTGCTTGTTTGCACCAAAGAGACACGGTCAAATCATCGCCTGCCGCCTTCCAGTATTGCCTGGCCACGAGGTTTGCAAACGTTGTGAACTGAGAAAATCCTGGCCCACCAAGTGTGAACGACATGTCGACCATCACATTTTGTACGGAGCAGCAGAGACCGTCGAAGGTTGCAATCACTTTCTGGGCATCTGCGATGGCTGTCTTCAAGCTGATATCCAGCAATTCTTCGATCTGCTCTTCGGTAAGGCAAGGAACGGAGGAACAATTGCAAGGAACATTCCACCTTGTCACAGGACCGTTCTCAAACTTGTTGTAGTCAGCTCCAATGGAGTCAAACACTTCTGGGGCTTCCTTGTTTTGCATGTTGTAACCCACGCCTATGGTTTTGATGCCCTTTGTGTCGAGGTAAACGCAGGCTTTTTTTCCTTCATGTCTGATTATCATTGGCTTTGGATCGCATTGGTCAGCTCTGAAACCTTGGACTAAGGTAATCAGAGAAAGCGATAGTACAATCATCTCTTTTAACTCCATGTTTCTACGCTCGGAATTCTCGGAAAGTTTTACGCGTTGTTCACTTCCTCATGTCTCGTTCTCATGTGTCACGCGTATCACGCACTAACAGTCACGACTGGAAGAGTCACGGACACGGAGAATTCACGTACCAATGACTTCTGTTACTGAGCAATCGAAAAGTCCCTGAATAGCAGATTTGCACGTTGTCGTCATTTTCCCACAACTACCAGAATTCCTTTAGTTTTTTCTTTATTATTTAAATTTTCAAAAGTCCTAGTGAGATTTAAATAACAATTGCCCTAAGAAACAGGAAAAGTGAAGGATTCTGGTAGTTGTAATCAA